AGGTCCAGAGCTTTTCTTGTTACAGAGGACATGTTCTACCTCCTGCTCTTTGTTCCTGATCATAGGAGGTCCTTTCTCTCTGCTTTCTTCTCTCTTCTTTCTCCTTTCTCTTGTAAAATAAGTGATTTAGGCCACACGCCAAAGAAATTCCCCTCATATCAGGTAAGAGATGAGACTTAAGTTGGGGGATACCATCTCACTCTAATCCCCTTACAGCTGATAGGCTGACCAGATCAAGTTACATCATGGGAATTGTGACTTCATTGCATTAACCTCCAAGTGGCATAATTGCATACCCGCCAAACCAAGGAGAAGCAGGGAGCAATCAAGTTGACATGGATTTTGGAGGGACAAGATCCAATCCATGATGATGTCTCTCACCAGGTAAAATGTTTATAAAAGCAATATTACTTAGGCATCAAAAAAGTGTCCTTAATGATCAGTAAAATGTTGTATGCTGTTGAGTCAGAACTAATAGCTGACTCTCCAGTGGGTTTTCAGAGGCAGTAAATCACACAGGAGGACACTGCCCATCCTTCTCCCACAGGGCAGCTGGTGGATTCAAACTGTGTGCCTTTGAGATCGCAGCACAACTTCTTAGGACACCAAATGAAGTGGTTGTTGTTATGTGCCGTTGAGTCTAGTATGAGTCTTACTGACTCTATGGCCAAAATATCTAATCTCTGTCCTATCCTGTGCCTTCTTCACACTTCCTGACATATTAGAGCTCATTGCGGCAGTCACTGTGTCAATCCACCTGGCTGAGAGTCTTCGTCTTCTTCAACAATCCCCTACCTTTCCGAGCATCATGACCCTCTCCAAGAAATAGCCTTTCCTAGTAACATGCCCAAAGTATGTGGGGGAAAGCCTCACCACCCTTGCCTCCAAAGAACACTCTGGCTGTACCCTCTCCAAGATGTGTTTTGTTCTTTTGGCTGTCCATGGGATGTTCAGTGTTCTTCCCCATCACCACAGCTCAAAGGCATCAATTGCTCTTCTGTCATCCCTATTCATTGTCCAGCTCTCAAATGTGTAACAAATGATCAGAAAGACTATGGCCAGAATCAGACAAATGTTATTTCAGGCCACCAGGTGAGTTAATCATTATTCTAAAACCAAGAAGAAACTGTTGAGACTTTCTCTACAGTGATGAGGTTATTTCAAAAGCTTTTGCCATCAAAATGCCTGTACCTTCTGCCACATAAGTCCTGAGAAAAAGAAGCCTAGTCTATCACCATTCTATTTTGACATAGCAGAACCAAACGCAGAGCAGGAAGAAGGTAACAGCCAGATATGACTCCACATCTAAAATCACGAAAGGAGATACCTATAGCTTAAAGTGTCAGTACTATGTGCTTTGAGTCAAGCGGTCTTGTCTTCAGCAAACCCCAGAGCACATGAAACTGAATGAAGCCTGTGAAATTTACATGTACCAAGTGGCTGAAGTCCTGGTCCAAGAATACCCACACTGGTCTCAATTTTCAACTAGGCATGAATAAATGACTTTTGCAAGCTTTGGGGACATTTTGCCTCTTTGTACAGACTTGGGCTCCCAACAGGAAGCATCTCTTTTTGCAAAATCCCTCTCACCATAGGAAAGTAACAAGAGTTTATTGTAGAAAAGCTGTCTCTAGGATTAAACCTGCTAGGACTTCCTTGATATTTCTACAACATGGAACAAGGAAAGGACACAGGAGGGCCTACCTATATGTGTCAGTTGCAGAGTTAGGTATCTTTACATATGCTGTATTGTATTTTTAAAAGATCCTTAGTTTGTTGTAATGATGAGAGTTAACAGTTGAGTGTTTTCTGTATTCCTTTGCTTATAAAATTTTTACAATGGATTGTTATTTTATGCTGTCCAATAGATTCCAAGTCTGAGCAAATCTACGGAATGGGACTATCCCCACAGAGTTCCCAAGGATATAGTGGTTGAAGAATTCAACTGTTCATGGAAAGGTTATAAGTTCTAATCCGCTAGCTGCTCTACATGAGAAAGACAATGAAGTCAGCTTCCTAAAGGTTTCCAACCATGAGGCGGTCCTACTCTGTCCTATAGGGCCACTATGAGTCTCAATCAACTTGATGACATTGGGTTTGGCTACTTTTTTTCTCTTTCCTTTTTTTTTAATATTTGTGGAAGCAGACTGATAAATCTTCCTCACCTTGAACAGCTGATAGATATGGTTTGAACAGTCAAGACCTCTGGGTTGGCAACTGAGCTAATCTTATCCACTGCAGCTGCCAGTGGTTAAGCTATGGAGGAGGGACATAATGTGATGGAGGCTCATAGAGGTTAACTATGAGTGTAAGTCAAACTATGCCTACCTATTATTATTTCTATTTTTAAATGATGATAATATAAGGGCTCCCAGTGGATATGGGCAGTGAAGATACAGAAAAAAATCATGGATTATTTGTACTCTCAAGAACAAACTTGTGGTATATATCTTGGTTATAACATTATAACATGCCTACGGACAGGAACTTATTCACAGCTGAGAGTCCAGCGAGGTTTGTTGTTGTTATGTGCTGTCAAGACGAGTATACTAATAGCAATCCTAGAAACAAAAGACTTGAACCCTGTTCTATCCTGTGCCATCCTCACACTTCCAGACACACAAGATCCCATTGTAGCAGTCACCATGTCAATCCACCTCGCTGAGGGTCTTCCTCTCTTTTGCCGACCCTCCACCCTTCCAAGCATCACCTCCTAGCAACATGCCCAAAGTATGTAAGGCAAAGCCTCATCATACTTGCCTTCAAAGAGCACTCCAGCTCTACCCTCTCCAAGACATAATCTGTTCTCTTGTTCTTAGAGGCTATACATCATATGGGTGGAGATTTCTCATCTTTCTCCTTCAGAGTAGCTGGTGGATTAGATTTGCCTGTCTTTGAGTCAGCATTGCAACTCCTTACCCACAGATGACCATAGCTCCCACCAATACTTATATTGTTCATTTGATTGGCAGGTAGTGTTGTTGTTATATGTGTCAAGCTGCCTGCGACTCATAGCAACCCTATGTATAACAGCTCTGAATCCTGTTCTATCCTGAGCCATTCTCACTAATTGTGACACACCAACATCCATTGTCTCAGTCACTGTATCCATCCATCTCATCTGGGATCTTTCTCTCTAGTGCTGTCTCTCCACCCTTCCAAACATGACGTCCGTCTCCAACATCTAGTTTCTTCTGGCCATGTGCCCAAAGTATATGAGATGGACCTTCAAAATTCTAGCCTCCAAGGAGGAAACTTGGTTTCATCCTCTCCAAGATTGAATTATTTGTTTTCTTGGCATATTCATCGTAGGGTTAAGACTCTTCTCCAGCAGCGAAATTCAAAGCCATCAGTTCTTCTTCTGCCATTCTTAGTCATTGCCCAACTCTCTGAAACATAACAAGCAATTGTGAAGACAATGGCCTGGATTAGGTGCACCTTAGTCTCTAGACTGATATCGTTGTTTTTCAGTACTCTGGAGAGGTCCCTGACAGCAGATTTTCCCAGTGCAATCTGTGATTTCCTGACTGCTGGTGTTAAGAGTGCTTTTTGTGGAGCCAAGCAAGCTGTAATTGCTAAAAACCTCAATCTCTTCCCCATCTATCAGGGCCCTGCCAATTAGCCCAATGGTGATATATTAGCATGGGATAATAGTTTGCCAAGTGCTTCCCATATGCATCTCATTTACTCATCTATAAGACCTCTGCTTACAGTGGGGGCAGTACAGAAAAGTCCATAAAAATTAGGATTTTGTTCAAGCAGGTATACTTTTAGATGCTAATTCTGAATTTTATTAGTCCCATCCACATCTTAGGGCAAATTATCTTCCCAATTTCCAGATCTGTGTAGTGGCAGTAACTAGATCACAGAACACTGGGAAAGAGTGCTTGCCAGGCGCCCATAGGTGTGCCATAAGCAGTACTCATTCCCCATCCCTGTGTTATTTATATTTAACTGCAATTCCTAGAAGATAAAACAGGGTCCTGGGTCATCATATTAAGGAATGAAGCCTAGGTTTTTCAACTCTAGAAGCTTTTTTATATTTAGTCAAGTCATTTAAGGGTGTAAGACGTCAATACCCAAGTCCGTCTCCCCAACATTATTGGTTTAGTTAAAGGACATTCTCTTCAAGCTAGCCAGTTGTCGTGCTACTTCGAGTCCGAACCGACCCACAGTTGACCCTCTAGAAGGTTTTCAGAGGCAGTAAATTGCACAGGAGGACACTGCTCATCTTTCTCCTTCAAAGCAGCTGCCGATTTCGAACTTGGTACCTTTGGAATTGCAGCGCAGCTTTTTACTACTAGGCTATTCAGTCTAGTAAATTTCAAAGAAGCAGGCTCAAGCGTTGCCCGAGTTGAGCAGCGTCAACTCCCCTATTTCGCCCCTTTAAAACCTGTGTCACAAGGCTCCTAAGAACATTCACCAGCTCTCGGTTCTGGGCAGAACCACGCCTCCAGACAGATGCGGAATGACCTCTACGCCCATTGGCTGTTGCCCAAGGCAACCAAAGACGCGGTGGGCACGCAGGTCCCCAGCCGGTATTTAAAGGCCCTGAGAGTGGCCGCACCACCTCAGGCCAGCTAGGACGGCCAAGGTGAAGCACCTGGGTTAAGAGGGAGCCCCAAGGTAACGCGCAACCCCTGCCTCCCTAGTCCCCAGCCCGTGCCTCCGCAGAGGCGGGGGTGAGTGGGATCTGGGAGCGGGTCTCACTGCGTGTCGCCCATCAGTACCTTCCCCCACCATCCTTACCTAGCCCCACACACATCCATTCCACCTGGGCACAACCCAGGTGCGAAAGACAGCAGATTTCGGCCAAAGAGCAGTGAAGAGAAGGGCTACCTGGGGGGGAAAAAAAAAAAAAAAGAGGGTGATCCTGGCCTCAGGCGCGTGGCGCTGTGAAGAGACACGGTGACCCAAGCTCTCCAGACCACCTGATCTGGCCCAACTTGACCGCAGCTTCTAGAACATCACTGTTCAGACCTCTCAGGCCTCTCCGATCCATGACCCAGACTCTGGACCAAAGGGAGGACCCTCTTAACCTGGGTGGCGGCTTCACATCCTCAGCCCCAGTACGCACCAGGTATTCATGTCACCAAAGGCGTCATAGCGCCCCGATTTACAAAAGGAGGCACCGCTATGCCCCCAAAGCCGTGTATGAGCCCCCCAGGAAGCACCCTAAGCAACAACAGGGCCCGGGCCATTGGTTCCAACCACCTCTATGTCCCTACTGGACTGTGTATTCCCACTGGGGGCGCTGGGGCGGGCGGTGGCACCCGCCCCCAGCCGCCTGCTGGAGTGCTCCAGGACAGGTGCAAATGATCCGGGTGTACGGACTGCACCCCCTCTGCCTTTGTTGCTGTTCTTGTTGGGGAGGCCCCCAGACTCCAGCCTGGGCAAGGCCCTATGGCCGGAAGAGGCGCTGGGGTCGCAGGAGCCGCGGCCTGCGCCGCTTCCCTCGCCGCTCCTTCCCGAGGAACCCGCCGGTGGATCTGCGCATGCTCCTGCGTCCGGTCAACCTGTACGGGTGGCGGGCGCCTGGCATGCGAGCGCCGCGGAACACCACGCAGTTCATCATGAACCAGATCTACGAGGACATGCGGCAGCAGGAGAAGCTGGAGCGTCAGCAGGCGGCGCTGCGGGCGCAGCAGGCTCCGGCTCCGGGCGAGGCCTTCCCGGAGGCCGGCTCGGGAGACGATGCTCCGCCCAGCGGCTGCGAGGAAGACGCGGAGCTGCAGGAAATTTTAAACAGCTTCATGCAGGAGCATTCTGTGGTCTTCAGTCCGGCCCCTCAGGCGCAAACCCAGTGTCCCGCCTCGCAGCAGGTGGCAGAAGAGGAAGCAAAGAGGAATGCGAGAGAGGAAGAGTGTGAGGAGGAGAGCGAGGAGGAGGATGAAGAGGAGGAGGGCCAGGATGGAGAGGGTGAAGAAGACGAGGATGAGGATGGAGAGGGTGAAGAGGAGGAGGAGGAGGATGGAGAGGGTGAAGAGGTGGTCGGAGAAACTAACTATGAGAAAGAGGAACTGGAGGAAGAAAAGGCAGAGGAGAAGAGAGGAGACAAAGAGGATGTGCAGAGAGAGGAAGAGAACCATTTGCCTTTATCCACCCTGGTTGGTTCTGAAGAAGAGAGAGAGAACTTTATAGGCTGCAATTATTTCAGTCCCAAAGACATTAATTTTGAAGTGTCACAGGAAGCTCTCTTCATGGTGCAGGACATCAACTTTTAGATATCCAGAAAGGGACTGAGAAATGGGATGGAATTAATTTACGGAGAGAAAAATTGATTAGCCATTTATTAAAAACAGATTCAAAAGTGAATTCCATTAATAAACAAACGTAAACTTCTTTGGCCATTATAAAATATTTTAACATTGGTGTGTTTTGTGTATACCTGTAGATGGTGGAAGGGTTTTTATTTTAATTCAAATGTAATTGAAAATTATTAAAGGCCAACTATTTTACTACGACTATTTCACTCTTGAGATAATTTTTCACTCGCCGAGGGTTTTAATTTTCTGGAAGTGTTGAAAAGGGATTCTTTCGTAGTCAAAACATAACTGCTTATTGAGCTTGGAACCAATAATTTGTCAAGTTTTTAAACAACACATTCTCCTGTGTTCTAGACATGATAACTGAAGCCATTTTAAATTTTTTAAAGAGAAATACATTTTTTTTTTCTGGTAGAGTTTGCACCATCAGATTTCTTTCTTTTTTTCTTTTTTGAGGGTTGTGTTTTGATAACCCATTTGCAGTCTCCTGTGGCATTTCTCATTCATATTCCTTGTTCCACAGCGCTATGGATTTTCCTCAGAAGAACATGAAGTTGCTTCTGTGGAACTGGTTATCTGCCATGGCCTCAACATTCCATAAGCCATGCATGGAGAGGATTCCCATGGTCAGAAGTCAACTTGTACATCTAGTTGAGATCCAAGGTAACTGCAGACAATGGAACACTGCTTTGCCTTTGAAGCCCCGTTCCTAGATATATTCCTTGTCAAAAGTTCAAAGGAATAATAAAAATAGATTATTTTCTGCAGGATGGATTTCTTTTTAATAAGAAAAGATTGGCCTTCTGAGGATGTAATACGTTTTTTATGCGTCTCCTAGTTTGTCTCCTTCTAAAGAAGGATGGGGAAAAAAGGTGTCAGCCTATGTAAGCTGGTTTTTTTTTTTTATTTTCATAAAAGTAAAATATTTAAACATTTATCCATGGAAAATACATCAGTCAAGAATAATATCTTTGGTACCATAATTTCTGCAAGTGAGGCATTTCTACTTTCTAGGAATTTGTCTCATAATTTGAAAAATGTTTTATACATAGCATAAACCTGAAATACCTCTATATTAAAAAATTGATCCTAACTTCTTGAAAACTACACCTTGTGACAAGCTATTAAGTATAATTCGGATTACAGATTAGTATTTTTACTTGTTGGAGAGAAGACTGTTAATGGTGATCGCTTACCTGAAGTTTCATTTTACTTAAATATCTCCATCATTTCCGCTTTGGGGATGTTGTTGTTATGTGCAGTCTCATAGCGACCCTATGTACAACAGCCCTAAACCCTGCTCTATCCTGTGCCAGTCGCATTACCTCTGACCCACCCATCCCGATTACCCCAGTCACTGAATCAATCCACCTCATAGAGGGTCTTCCCCTCCTGCGCTGTCCCTCTACTCTACCCAGCATGATGTCCCTCTCTAAAGATCTGTCTCTCCTTGCAACATGTCCAAAGTATGTCAGATGAAGCCCCAGAATCCTTGCCTCCAAGGAGTAGCCTGATTGAACCCTCTCTAGGATGAATCTTTTTTCTTGGCAGTCCATGGTACGTTCAATACTCTTCTCCAGCACCACAGCTCAAAGGTGTCAATTCTCCTTCTATCCTCCCTAGTCATTGTCCAACTCTCTGATGCATAACAAGTGATTGCAAAGACCATGGCCTGTATCAGGTGCACCTTCACTTTGGGGATAAGTTGTAAATAATAAGAAAACAATAATGCTTATCATGTCTTCTTTAAATATCAGAAATCATTCAACACTACCTATTTAACAAAACAATGAACAGAAGGAAAATTAAAATGGACACAGACATTGTAGGTATTTTAGAATTGCACTAGATACTCTAAAATATGACAGTGAGAAACTAAGCATTAAATGAAACTGTACGAGATAATAACCTTATGAGTGACCTATAGCAAAACAGTTTAAAATTAGCAAAATTTGCTACTCATGAGTTTCTGTTCCTGTTCCAACATATAAATATATGAAGAAGGAAAGCAAATACTCACTAGATCAAACATAATGATATTTTTATAAATACCTTTTGTGTGTGTGTGTGTGTGTGTGTGTGTGTGTGTGTTATTTCTTCACAATTACAGAAAGTACTTGGGTTGTTACTGCAAACCCTTCTAATTTTAAATTAAGTCAGAGGTCTTGGTTTCCTCCACAGGAATAGAGGAGTATCTATTGGCCCTTGTTTGCAAGGGGTTAAAACATGAACTGAGTTTTCCATCTAGATTTTAAATCTTTTTCCAATAAATAATCTGAGCCACCAGATGTTAATCACAGTGACTGTGACAAAGATATGATGGCGACTAAGCCACATCCCGACTCTTGTGTTGCTCATTGGAGAAGACAGACATCAAATGAAGGTTTAGTTAAATTAGCCAACTATTATGAAGGACATAGACCACTTTAAAAAGCAGATCCCAGGGCAGTCCTTAGCTGGAGTCAGAGGTGTTCAATGTGGGCAGAAGGAATCATGAATCTGAAAGCTCAGAGAGGGGAGGACATTGATCTTCTTGAGATGGAACTGATTCCATGAGTTCAGAGTATACTGAGTGGCCAGTGAAAGGCAAAGCCTTTCCATCCAAGGCCCATATAGACGTCTATGCTGTCTTTACCTTCTGAAAAAGAGGCCAGTAAAAATAGGAGAAAACTCTAAGTCATTGAGAATTCTGGGCTTAAGCTTAAGGTGTTGTGATAACTCTAAAATGAGTAAACCTCGCCTCAGTAAGTGTGGATGTTTAGTACACCCCTCATTTAAATTTTCAGAGACCTCCCATTTGGTTCCCCATAGTGAAGAAATTAGAGAGGGATTCTTTTCAGCATAGAGAACTTCTGCAGTTTATTCAGTATGATTTGATGATTTAGTGCACTTTTCAGTGTTATGGCATAGAAGCTGTCTAGGCTGGAGAGTCCATATGATTAAGCACTTGTCTGTTGTCCAAAACAATTGATGGTTTAAATACACTCCGAGACTCTTCTCAAAAGATCACAGCCTAGGGGAGCTCTGGTGGCCTAGTGGCAAGAAGCTGCACTACAATCCCAGAGGAGCACGGTTTGAATCCACCAGATGCTCTGCCGGGAAAGGAGGGACAAACTCCTCCTGTACCAGTCAGATCTGATTTGACGGTACACACACACACACAAATAATAAAATAAAAATTTTAAAAAAATTAACAAAAAGATCACAGCCACCGAAACACAACAGCACAATAAATGCAGTTGTGGTTTTCTAGCTTCACAGTTCAAGAAAACTCATGATTGTCAGAGCATCATGCTTTAGAGGATATATCAATAATGTGAAGTCATTGAACTACTTAAAGAACAGAAAGACTGTTTCAACTGGTGATAAAAGGTTGTTATAAATCTTAAATAATGTTAAGTAGGCCTGATCTTGAGAGGCATCTTTGCTACTTTTTTTGACATGTTTTCAAGGTGTACAGATTCTGGTATTTTTCTTTTCTGTGACTGACATAATTTCTTGATGTGTCTTGATTTGTCTCTCAGTAACATAAAGAGATTTTTCTATGGAAATAGTCCTCTAAAGATTATAATATGCTTGACATTTAGAGACCAACTCTAGTCTCAGTATGATTTAATAAAATATTCTAACACCTTTATTTGAAGAATTTCTAACGGGTTTTGCTCCACTAAAACAGAAGAGGCAAAGTAACCACTCCTGCTAGCTACAAAAAAACTTAAAAGTGTATGGAAAATAAATAAAATAGATTCATCAGATCATAGGTACTCATGCAGATACAAAATACTTACATTTAAGTACCTTAAGAAAACTGAAATTTTAATTTTAGTAGAATAATATATTTATGTTAAGCACCCTGAATTATGTTCAGACATGTTCATATTAATGTAATCACAATTGAAAATCACCCTCAATTCTTTCAAATAACTTTCTCTTTATTGAAAGTGAAATCAGATAATGACTTAGGGATTTCTGAATTATCACTACTCCTCATCTGGTTGTTGTTGTGTGCCATCAAGTCAGAACCGAAGTGGGCTTTCAGAGGTAGTTAACCACACAGCAGAAGATTGCCAGCCCTCCTTCAGCAGAGCTCCTGTGGATTCAAACTGTAAACTTTCCAGGTTGCAACACAGCTTCTCACCATCTGTTTGTTGTTGTGTATCATAAGTCAGAACCGACCCATAGCTGACCCTCCAAAGATTTTCAGAGGCAATTAATCACACGGGAGGAGATTGCCCATCGCTGTCCCATGGAGCAGCTGATTGACTTGAACTGCATGCCTTGGGGATTGCAGCACAGCTTCTTGCCCCTAGACCACCAGAGCTCCCTCATCTATTTAGTGTTAGCCAGTTAATGGAAAGCATCAAGATTGCCTCATGGACAGGGAGGATTTAAACTTGGATTGCAAGTCCTAAATCCATGCCTTGGCCTAAGAGCTTAAGAGTTCTGTGCAGTAGCCACTTGATTTGGATCTCTTTCTCCATTACACATGTGCCTCTTTTAAATACCAAATTAGCCAATGTTTAAGAATAATGGTATTATAGAAAGAATACCACCATTAAAAAAAAATGATACTTGCTTGAGGGTCAGTTGGATGAATGAGTTCCAGCTCGATGGCACATAACAACGTAACGCGTAGTTTATAATCAGAGCAGTACAATAGATTAAGTAATATGACCTTTCTATTCATAGGCTCCCATTTTCCAATCCTCACCTTTTTGTTTATGGCTAAGACCTCATTTGAGAATGAGTTCTTTGTTATATTATAGGTAGGGTTAGAGTGGGATACATCTTGGTGCTCCATTCTATTAGGAAATACTACTCAGTTGTCAGCCTTACTTCTCCTGACGGCATGGTTTATGGCTCTAAGATCCTATATAGAAGAATGCTCTGGGAAATTCATTCCTTGTTTGCTACAGACATTGCATTTAACCTGATCTAGCTTTTCCAGTTGCCAAAAG